AATTGATAGCAAATATATGATCATAAATTTCAAATTCAAAAACGTCATTGATTCTGAATTGATCTCGAAAGAAATAAACTCTTTACTAGTCTTTGCTCAAATTGGCATATAGTTTAATTAGTGCAAAAATTAAAATAAAGCTATCAAATAATTATCTTGTGGTATATTAAAATTACCAAATTATTAAATAATTTTCTTTAGTTATTAATAATTTAAATGATAATTAAAGATCAGACCGCACTTGAATATTTGAATAATTTCATTGACAATGCCCATAATACAAGATATTAGATAGATTATATGTGGTGATGTATCGTTACATTATGATAAATATGGTTATTAAAAGTAATATTTAAGCAAAAGTAAAAATAAACAAAAAATAAATATAAATAATCTATATTAATACGTTATCGTCTTTTTATTTTTCTTGCTACGTTGAAAATCATCATCTTAATAGGATCGTAATTAGCAATATTTAGCATCTTAGATATTGGAACACCATGGACAAGTTTACGTTTTTTCTTTTGACTTTTTATATAATTTAAAATAATTTACCAAAATGAGTAAACGACATGAAACTAACAACAATAACCTTTATTTCAATTTCTAAAAGAATTTTTAAAGAATTCCAAGATTAAATATATAAAAAACCAGAATTGATAAAACCATGCTTTTCACAATAATTTATATTTTTATTTTACTTAATAAAAATTATTTTGATATTAGAAAATAAGCAATTATTCTCACGATGTTATAGATGAAAATTATTTCTGTAAAATTGGAAAATCTAATTATGTAAGTTACATGTTTTTGAACCCCAGAAAATATATATTAATTATAAAATTTTTCTTTATTAAGATAAAATGAAGAAATGCCCTTTATAGTCACGATCCGTTAGAGATCGGCACTAAATTATTATTCGTCAATAAACTTTTATTAATTCAATTTTGGGGCAAATTTATGTAAATCATATATAAATAATTTTGATGCTTCAGATTTACCAATTCATGTGATAGTCAGTAACATGGTTTGACAAAAAAACTTACATAAACAGTTGTGCCGTTCTTTCACAGATCACGACTTATGGATTTACTTCAATTTGATATTGATATCATTAATAATGATGTGAAAAATTATATAATAAGAATCTAGTTGAAGTTCTAGAAATTTAATTTATTAGTGTAACACAAAGAATAATCATTTTTTAAATTGCATATTTGGTGTGACTTATGATACATTGTGTAATTCAACATTTTAATCATGTCTCAAGAAAAGACAAACGAAAAAGCCTGGATGAACAGTTTGATAATTGAAGATACATTTCAAAAAGAAAATATCCTATTTTATCAATATCTTGAATTTAAAGATGTAAAATTAATTAGTAGAAAAGTTTATAAAGCCACTTTTAAAACTTCTCAAAAAACTGTTGTTCTTAAATACATTTCATTAAATAATAAATTTACACTGGACAATTTAATAAAGGAAGTGAGTTAAATTATATTTTTTTTTATTATATTATTTGAATATTATATATATATATATATAATTTTACTATATTCATTTTTTTTTTAATTGAAAAAGATTAAAAGATATCGAAAATTGGAAATTCATGACAACATTCTTAAATTTTATGGCATTACGAAGCAAGGTAAGGTATATTTTTACAAATAATAAGCATTAAAGATTAGATTAATTAATTAATATGATTTTATAGAGAGCACCGATAATTATATGATTATTCTTGAATATATTAATAACGGTTCCCTTCGTCAATATTTAAAAACAAATTTCCAAAAACTGGATTGGAACGCGAAATTAAATCTTGCAAAACAAATTACCAATGTCTTAAAGATCCTACATTCTAATGATATTATTCATGGAAGATTGGTAATTGATTTCTTACTTAAAAATAAATTAAAAAATTGAATCATTTTTAATTTCTTTTATTTATAATTTATTTAGAATTCGGAAAATATTCTTATTCATAATAGGATCATTAAATTTAATGTTTTTGGATTAACGAAAATTATGCCTGAATCTTTAAGATTCCTTACAAATGCTCTTGGCCCAATTCAATATATTGACCCTCAATATTTAAATATTTTCAACACAATTGGTAAAAATAAGAGTTCAGATATTTTTAGTTTGGGAATTATTCTATGGGAAATTTCCAGTGGTAATCCTCCCTTCGAAATGGAATCTAGGTCAAATGTTGATTTGTTGAACAATATTGTAAAAGGAAAAAGAGAAATGATTATACCTGGAACACCTCCTAAATACAAAGAAATATATTCTGGTATAAATTTAAAACAATTTAAAATTATTTATATTTATTGCATAATAAAATATATAAATTGAATCTATTCTGTTTAACAGATTGTTGGAAACAAAATGGAAATTCACGACCAGACATTTCTCAAGTGTTTAAAAATCTTTCAGAAATCATTATCTCTAATGCAAGTTATGAAAATGAAATTCCTCAATCACAATCTCACAATATCAAAGATGAAAATATTTCTGTTAAATTGGAAAAGTTAAATATGTAAGTTACACTTTTTATATTGTTTTATATATTTTTGAATCCAAGAAAACATTTATTAATAATAAAATTCTCTTTATTAAGACAAAATGAAAAACTAGAAGTTCAATCAGATCCTCCCTTTGCCAATAAGTCAGCAGAAGTTGAAGTTTTTATTAAGAATTTATTTGAAATTTTTATTGATATCATTAAAAAACAGTTTTTTAATTCGCAATCAATTATGATGAAAGATTATATTAAAGAGCATAAAAAAAACCCAGTTGAAGTTCTATATGAAATGATTAGACATCCATCACATTCTTGGTTCACTAGCATGATAGGATTTTTTTACATTAACGGTATTGGTACTGTTACTGATAACCAAATGGCATTTAAATTCTTTAGTATGGCTGCTGATGCCTCCTCCTCTAATTCTCCATCCTTAAAAGAACTATATAATGTCAACAAAGAAATTGGAACCATGTTTCTTGCGGATATGCATTTAGATGGAATAGGTGTTGAAAAAGATGTAAAAAAGGCATTTCAGATTTATTCTAAACAAGCTAATGAAGGATCCTTTTTAGTAACAGCTGATGTAGCAAAATGTTATTTAAAAGGATTTGGTGTTGAAAAAGATTGCGAAAAATCGTTTGAACTATATTTAAAATCTGCAGAAAAAGGAATTCTTGTAGCACAATGTAGAGTTGGTTTTTGTTATATAAACGGAATTGGAACACCAATAGATGTGGCCAAAGGATTTCCGTGGTTTATGAAATCGGCCCTTGCTGGAAATATTTATGCAATATGGTATGTTGGGTATTGTCTTATCAATAGCGGTATAGATGTGGATATAGATTATCAAGAAGCATTTAAATGGTTTTTAAATGCAGCTGAAAAAGGAGATTCTGCAGCTCAATATGATTTAGGAAATTGTTATAAAAATGGTTATGGAATTAATGAGGATCAGGTGAAAGCATTTGAATGGTATAAGAAAGCTGCGGAATCTGATGATATTGATGGTATTGATGGTCAATATGAGATTGGAAAATGCTTTTATGAAGGACGTGGGACCAAAAGAGATATTGTAAATGCTATCTACTGGCTAAATAAGGCAAAAGAAAATGGGAATATCGATGCAAATGAACTATTAAAAGAAATCATAAATAAGATAGATTAATTTTAAAATTATTAATTATTTATTTCTTTTTTTTTTCTGATAATTGAGTGCAATAACGTTATGCTTTATATAGAAATTTACAATTTCATATAACTTCATGTTGACACTGTAGAATTTACTAGTGATAATAAATAATAATTGATCCAACAATCTAATAATTTAATTAATTAGGAATTAATTGAGTTGAATTGATAAAAAGTCAAGAAAAGAGAATTTCGTTTTTTTTTAATTTTTTATGAAAGAAATTGTTTACGTATTGACGTACATGAAATCTAATTAATGATTTTCAAGTTGTAATAACAAAATAATCATGTTTAGCAAGAAAGAACCCAAAATTACCATTAAATAACGATCAGTGACCAAGCCATTATCTTTTTGTGTAGTTTCTGATTGATAAAAATTAAGCAATTGAATGAATATATATAATGGAATACTATCTCCAAGGAAATCAACTTTGTCACCATTTAAATTTATTCTAGTAAACTTGTTCTACTTATTAGATTAGCATAATGCGTTAATGAAATATTATAAATAAGAATTAAAATTTTTGAAATTTTGATTCACTTACTCATATTATTCATACCAAACAGTTTACATATAAACTTAAATTCAACTCTTTTATGATTTATTATTCTTCACAGTGGGATTTCTTTCTTAAAAAAAATAAACTTCTACTACAAATGAACAAAAAAAAGACATAAAGAAATATGCGCAGAATGTGATCAAGAATATACTTTCTCAAAATGTTGTGAACCTTACAATCAACACGTTTCAAAAAACGAATAGATAAGTGGAATTGAAATAATAGATAAAATACTTAATTAATTGATAGTGATGGTTTTCAAGATATTAGTTAGCAAAAGATGGATTTACAACTATATTTGGCTATGTTAATGGGAAAATATTGTCACCGAGAAGTGAATTAAAGTATGATATGCTTATAAATTATAGTAATATATTTATTAATAATATATATATACGCTTGAAATTTTTAAATAATAATGATATCACAATTCAATCACAATAGTCACTGTGTGTCATGCCCCTTCGAATATCTACTTTTATTAGATATCCTAGGAACTTGGAGTTTTTTACATGCAGAAAGCATATTTGTTACAAAGGAATTCTCGAAGTAAAACAGAATGATCTAATCTTCTTTCCAATATTTCCGGGTCATTAATTCTGGTGTTTAGAAATACATAAATGAATTTCACAATGTGAACATCAAATTGACTATTCCATGCAATCCCTGTACCATTACTGAAACAAGAATAAATCAAATTAAATGTACTTTATTAAAAAAAAATGGATATATTGAAATTTCTTCCAATAATTATTTACGCCAGCAATAATGCATTAGAGATGGAAAAATTAAATATGTCATGTTACATAGTGCTGAAAACTGTGAAGAATCTTCATGATAAGATCAGAGATTGGGGTAATTCACTTACCAAATATCAAGCTCCCAATTCTTCTCTCAAAAGTATATCATCCATGAAACAAAGATTAAAAAAGCCAAAGCTTCAAAGAGTATACTCCAAAGTACCGTAATTTGCCACATAAGATACCCTCCCGTGCAATACACCCCCCTGGTTTAGTACCCGGGGTATAAACCATGGTAATTATTATATTAATAAAATTAGATGATCGAAAATTTGATTCAACGAAATTTATAATTTTA